TATTTAAATGGTTCCAAACGGTTTTTTGTGCAATGTTTAGCTCCTGGGCAATCGAAACAGTGCTTACATGACGGTCGGACTCGACGATTTCCATTATTTTATCGACATTTTCGACAATTGGCCTTCCAGAGCGTGGTGCATCTTTGACATCAAAATTACCGGAACGGAATCGACGAAACCAAAATTGCGCGATATTGACTGTTACAGTATCAGGACCATAAACACTATTCACATTTTCAGCCGCCTGGCTTGCGTTTTCGCCTTTATCGAAGAAAAACTGTAAAATATGGCGTATTTTCTCTTTGTTGGTGTCCATCTTTGACACGCGCTCAAACAATACTGACTCAAGCAATCACAAAACTATCTGAGAAGTTTTTTTAGTACGAAATCTTATCTTTCTAACGCCATTTGGCGTAACCCGATCGCACTTATACAACGCGAGATACAGATTACTAAAGCCATCTATTGGAAAAATAATAGATTTCTTTTTACTACACTTTACATATTTTAGCGTCGCTGATTACGAATCTGGAGTCAGTTTAGCAAAATTCAAGATGGCGGATCCACTATGGCGGACAAAAAATTAAAAAAAATGTTTTATTTGCTTTGAGAATTGATGTATTGGGGTTTTTTTGGGGTCGATGATTACGATTTTGAAATGAAAACCAGATTTGTAATTGGTGACCCAAAAAACTCCTGTATACTAATTATTAAGGTAAATAAAGTATTTTTAATATTTCTGGTCCGCCATCTTGGATCCGTCATCTTGAATTTTGAAAATTTGATTTCAAATTTGTAATCAGCGATCTAAAAAAACTCCTGTATATCAATTTTCAAGGCAAATAAAACATTTTTTTAAATGTTGGTCCGTGATCAGCGACCCGAAAAACCCTTAGGTACGAAGTTTCAGAAAATTTGACTACAACAAATAATTCGTGCATCAAAGAGTTAATAATAAGAAATAAGAAGTACCTGACCTGATAACGGTCAAAGCTAAATTTTTTAATGCTCAAATAATTCAATCTGAATTAATATCTATATATTATATATACCATGTACATGTATACCATATCATTTTTATAGTTATTTGAACTGCGCGCTGAATCAAATTATTAAACAATAACAAATGATTTATTAAGACCGTATATGTGCATATGTAATAAGTAAGAATTTAAAGTCTATAATCGTCGAAGCTGAATCTTTAATACTTAAATAATTTAATGTGAATTATTCATTTATACTGAATATAATATGTACATGCATATATTGTACATACATATTTGTAATCATTCGAATGCGCGTCAAATTAGTTTTTCGAGCTTATAAACGTAATTAAACTATTGTAATAATGGTTAAAAAATAAAGAGCATATAGTCACAACTAAGGATGTAAATAAGTTCTATATTATTATTTAAACATAACAATAGGTAGACGTTTCGGTCAAGATTTGACCCTCTTTAGTACAATAAATACGTTAAATTAAACTAAAAACATAATTTGACTAATAACAGTAATGACAAATAGTACAAAATTTAATATTTCCTAATTATACAAAATTCGCACTCGATATAAGTGAATTACGATACATTTGGAACATTGAAATTAAATCAAATACAAAATTCGAACGATAATTATAACGATAACTTGTACGCATTTTGTTATTTCCTTATACGAATTATTCGCAATCGATGTAATTGGTCTGCGATAATAGTCATCACATTATATGGATAGAAATCTTTTCCAGTTGCAAAGGTTTTTAATACTTTTTATCTTCAATATAAAAATACAGACAAGCCGCACGCGAAGAGACACACAAGTACCGATTTCTATTTTAACACAAAAATCAATTTAATAAGTGAATTAATTATTATCATATTTTGTATAAAGCAATTAATTTACAAAAATTAATGTTTAAATGTACAAACGAAAGCTATTTAGAGATCTTTCCTAAAACTTAAGTATGAATTTAATAAACTTACGTGTATCTTGTGGCGCGGGAACTCATCCAAACACATGAACGCTGTGATATTTAAAAAAAAAATTGATCTTTACTTTCACAATGCCCCAAGCCCGAAATTGTAGGTCTATTTATAGTAGGAACGAAGGAGAAAGAAGGGGGAAGTTAAGAAGAAGGAAAAGGAAGTGGAAAAATATTAGAGTGGGACTAAAATTCTTTTTGAAGGAGAGGGAGGTAAAGGTCTGGTAACTTCTCAGTATTACTCTGTTTATTTAATCCATTTTTTTGTGTTTTTATGTGAATCATTTCTGAAATCAATCTTTTATAGTGTGAGCGTTCAGAATTTAATATTTTTGTATTAAGCCAGTCTATCACGTGATCAGTTTCAATTCTGTAATTCGAGATGACCGAGAGGGAATTGACAGTTTTTAAATATCATTTATGTATTCTTTTAGTCGCGTCTTTAATTTCCTTTTTGTCTGTCCCACATACGAATAATTACAGTTGCAATTGATCTGGTATACGACATTCGAAACTTCATCTTTTTTTATTTTATCTTTTCCAGTTTTAATGAACCTGTTTAAGTTATTCATCGGTTTGTATACAAATTCAAATTGAAATTTTTTAAGTGCTATGTTGAATTTCTCAGAAGTTTTATTTAAATAAGGGATCGTGAAATATTTTTTCATTTCAGAAGAGTTATCGTTCGAGTTAATATTATGTTTATTTATGGTATTAAAATTCTTTTTTCTAGAAACCGTTTTTATTCTATTTTTTATCGTTTTAAATACAAATTGTAGAGGATACCCGTTGCGGAGGAGGGTGTTGATTAAGGAATCGATGTTAGGGTGATGGAATTTTGGATGGGATAGGAATAGAATTTTGTCAAATAACCCAATCACAACGCCTTTTTTGTGTATGGTAGGGTGATTTGAGAAAAAATTTAGGTATCTCCCCGAGTTAGTAAGCTTTGTATACAAGTCGAAAATAATACTGCCCTTGTCGTACAAAAGTTTTATATCCAAAAAATTGATTCCAAATTCATCGCCATAATCTATCGTAAATTTTATGCGTTCGTGGTAAGCATTGAAGGAATCCAAGATGTTAGTGATCTGATTAGTAGGCGCTGCCAACAAGATATCATCCACATATCGATAATACAAAGGTATGTGCATGGTGAGTGTATTAAAAATATTGTGTTCCAAGTCTTGAATTACTAAGTCTGCTAAAATTGGTGATAGAGGTAATCCCATGGGCAACCCGAAAATTTATTCGTAAAATTCTTCATTGAACTTAAAAAAGGTTGAATTTAAGATGATGGAAATGGCTCTTTTAAATTCTTGAAAGGGGATAGAAGTATTCTTCTCAATCACATTCCATCTGCTCAAAACACTCCTTAAAGCTAATTCAATCAGAATGTTGGAATACATCGACGAGATTTCAAGCGAAACTATTCGATAATCATTCGGCAAAGGTAGACCATTTATTTTTTTGACTAACTCGTAACTGTTTTTTATGTATCCGAAGTTTTCTTTGTTGTTCAAACTTTTTTTAATTATTTCTTTCAAGAAACCTGCTAAATTGTAAAAAGGACTATTAATACAGCTTACGATAATTCTAAGCGGAACGCCCTTCTTATGAATTTTAGGAAGCCCATAGGATCTAGGTAAATCACCATCAGAAATATACAATTTTTTATATACAAATTGATCCAAGAAACCCCTCGTTTTCCAACCTGTTAACAACGTTCGTATTTCTGTAGTCAGTTTTTTTGTAGGGTCTTTGTCTATCAATTTATAAGTGTCATTGTCATATAATATGTCATGCATTTTTTCTAAGTAGTTTTGAGAGGTCATAATTACAATAGTGTTGCCTTTGTCCGCTTTAATAATTAATATTGTAATAATATCACAAATTAAATTGACAAGCAATTTTTAATAATTTGATGCTCAGACATATTAAGCATCATACCAGGCATCACATTATGAAAATTAATGCTTGTTAATTTAATTCATGATATTATTCCTACAGTATTGATTGCGTTTATAAGTCCAAAAAACACAAAAAATTTTTTTAAGATCTATTATAATAGCTGTAAACTTCTATGCATTAATAAATTTGCAATATGTAAGTAATATTAATTTCTTAATTTGTAATTAACCAGATTGCAGAAATAGAATTATATAACATATGTATGTTATATGTAAAGTTATAGGAACGATAATGTAACAATACTTTTTGCAATTGTATTGTATTATTATACGTTTGAATATCAAATTTACATAATACTATGTAAATACTCAAAATGTTAATGTAATAAAAGATTATGTATTTATGAATTTAATATTTGAATGTATAATACATAATGTACAATTATGTATAATTATAAAATGTGTATTGTCACATTATTGTTCCTATAACTTTACATACATATTGTAAATATATTGTAAATATAATTTTGCAATCTGTATTTAATTACAAAATAAAAAATTAATTTAACTTGTATTAATTTAACTTGTTAATTTACTTGATTGAGCATCAAATTATTAAAATTGCTTGTCAATTTAATTCGTGATATTGTCACAGTATTAATTACGTTTATAAGCCTGAAAAATTTGGTGCGTAATTCGAGTGATTGCAAATATGGTATACAGAATGTCCCACGTAACTGTGATCACGATTTTTCTGGCACTTCCGATGATATGACAAAAATTATTTTTTAGGAAAAAAGTCAAAGTAATCTTAATTTGTAGCCGATTGAAAACTGACTAACTTTTATTCAAAATAATTTTTATTAGGTCATCGGAAGTGCCGGAAAAATCGTGATCATAGTTACGTGGGACACCCTGTATATGCATGTACATACATATAGTGATTCAGATTGAATTATTTGAGCAGTAAAAGATCTAGGTTTGATTGTTATGGCTAGTACTTCATATTTCTTATTGTTGAGTTTTCAGATACATGATCCGTATGATTTTTATTGTTTTTTATTGTTTTTTATTGTTTACATTTATTATATTTACATTCATTTTAATTCTAGATATACAAGGAGAAATGTCTCGCAATGGACCTGGTCTTTACGAGTTTCTTATGGAAGCTGAGTTGCAACAGTATTATCCTGGTATTCGAGGTATTATTTGTTTCCATTTATTTTATATCATTAATTATATATCATTAATTAGTTTAAAAAGGAATATGTATGCTTAGAAGGGACTCTTGATGTTTAAAATAACAATAACGAAGATATTCAAAACTAATAAAAGTCAAGAGAAAGGGGTGTGCAAATTGTTAAATCAGAAAATTCTTTTCACTCTATTTAATATGCAGGATATATATTTTAATCAATATTAGTTTAGCAATCCGCCAAGATTGAGTCATTTACAGGTTGCCAAAACTGAAATCGATTCTAATTCGAAAACATTACGAAAATCTTAAATTCCTCTGCGCGAACAAAGAGCAATTCATCTCGATAGACGCCAAATACATATATCATATAGTTTTGGAATGATGTTAAAATTCATAAAGTAATACTTTTCAATATACGACTGAATTTTTACAACTTGTTAAAAAAGAACTATTTAAATTCCAATCATATTATCCGGAGTATCAAGTATGTCTAACGAGCAATTTAAAATTGACAAGATTAAACTGTGGAAAAACAATTAGATACAAGAATGAAAAGCATAAAATAATTCATAAAATGATAACACATATTTAGGCAATTAAATTATGTCAAATTAGTTGACATCGAGTCATAAGTGTGATGTAATGAGCTTGACTCTATATTCTCTCGCTCGTGTTTGTTCTTTCTATTAATTGATTATTTACTATTGCAATTTTGAACTGGAAACACTTATATTTTTTATTTTATTTTATACGTTAATCATATAACGCGTTCTATTAACCTTTCATTTAAATTTCATCGTTATTACTGTGACTTTATTTACGAATCTTTTAGTGAACATGTGATCTTAACTTCAAAATGTTGGATTAATGTCAATTATAAACTCTTAAGAATCATATCGCAGGTATATTTTTTTGAAATCATGTAATTTAAACAATAGTTTTCCATTGCATCTTTCACATAAACATGTTTATGAAATACTATACATGCAGTTTAACCATTATAAAACTATAAACTGGAGAAACTATTATATCGTTCTAGAAAAAAATTCATAAATTAGAAATTTTTTTATTGTATACGAGGTCTGTTCAAAAAGTATGGCGAATTTTGTGTTTTTTCAAAAATTATTTATTTATTCATGAATATCTATTTTGTCCCCTTCAAAGTAATCTCCATCAGATATTATAACACTTGTGCCAATGTTTTTTCCAATCCTCGAAGCACTTCAAAAAATTATTTTTTGTGATCTTCCTTATTTTTTGTGTTCAGCTCCTCCTTCGATGCCGTCTTTATCTCCTCAATCGTAGCGTAGCGTCGTCCTTTCATGGGCCTCTTCAGTTTCGGGAACAAGAAAAAGTCACAGGGGGCCAGATCTGGGGA